GGGTGGAGAGGGAGGTGGGAGGGGGGACCGGGATGGGGAATACATGTAAATCCATGGCTAATTCATTTCACTGTATGACAAAAACCACTGCAATGCTGTAAGATGATTAGCCTCCAACTAATGAAAATAAGTGGAAAAAAAAAAAGAAAAAAAAATACCAGCCTTTAGTATAGTAACATTAGGGCATAACCAACATTCAAAGAGATGGTTAATTAAGAAACACTTTAAAGGGGAGAATATTTAATGTAGCACTCCAGAGAGTCAATTACTAACAACTCAACCTTGAGTTGTAGACTTATTCTGAGTCACTTCATAGAGATTATTCTGGCTGTCACCTGGGATTTAGTCTTGAAAGCTGCAAAGGATCTGTGGCTCATAGATTTCTCACTTAACTTACTCTTCTTATTCTCCTATTTTTCTCACTACAATCATTTCTGGGCATGCCAAAGTACCAAAACCAGAATTCATTTTGCCAGGATTCTTAGCAGAGTATGAAGTTGCTTTTGTTTCCTAGAGAACAAGAGTTGCCAGGTTCTTTTTCCCTGGTGCTGGTCTCTCTATGGCTCTAAAATGCTGCAACTTCACAACCAGTAGGTGATGATTCTGGCCGGCTGTGGACAAATAAGTTCCTCAAAATTTCTCAGCAACCACCCTACCACAGCTTTCCCTTGAAATACTGTTGGGAGTACAAGGTGTCTGCAGGCATTAATGACCTACTAATAGGGCTAATAACTTCAGGTTCCCTCTAAACCACTCCCTATTCTTAGCACCAAGAATTCTTTAAATTATATCCAGGAAACAGCATCTGGAACAGTCATTATGCACAGTTGTTCAGCACTTTTTCAGAGTATGAAACATACTTTGTTAAACAGAGTATGTTTAAACATACTTTGTTAAACAGAGTATGTTTAAACATACTGTGTTAAAAAATCTGGAAATTAAAAAAACAACAAAAAAATCTGGAAATTCAAAATTCAGGCTTGGGTTCGTGGCCATCAGGTCTGTCTGTTCCTCTGCTCCAGAGTGCTCTCTTCTCTCACCAAGAAGAGTACTTTGGGAGTCCTAATACCTGTACAGGCTATGGTGGTGAGGTTGTGTGAAAAACCCTAACATAAAATGTCAGTGAGAAGGAAAGCAATGCAAAAAAGATCGCTCCCAATGAAGTCTCTGATAAGGAGAACAGCATCGTGGTGGCACCTGCAATTTGCTTTCCACCTACCTCTTCAAAGACTATTTCTATGATGCATTTACTTTTCAGTGAGGCAATTATAACTTGAAATGTCTCCATTGAGAAGTCCAGCACTGGGGAAACACCATCTCTTTCCTCATGCATGAAGGTGTCAGACAGTTGAGCAGGAATAATAAATATGGATTACAGGGACATACACCTACCTTCAGGTATCAAGAGACAAGTCCTGTCCAAGTAGTAATGGAGTAAGCACTGCTCAAGGCATGTACTAGAAATCTCAACACAAAGTGATGTCAGTGTTGAAGACAGCATTAACAATGAGGATCATAGATTCCTCATATGTTCATTTGAATTTATCTCTCAGTCCTCCATGACTATAATTATTTTGAGGGGGGCTGTATGTGGTTACATTTCTATTTTTAGTATATGTGCTGCAAAAGTGAGCACTGGTTACATTTCTAAGTGATAGTGGGGCAAGGTGGTTTTGCTTCTTAAGTTCTTCTTCAGGCTATATTCAATGAATTGCTCTGTGAGGAAATCTTGGCTTATAAATCAAACACGTGGTTATTTCTAATGCCTTTACATATATTGGCTCAAGATACTTCCTGTTCTCTCTGGATTTTAAGTCACAGGCAATAGATCTGAACAGAGGACTCTGCACCTGTAGCCCTAAACAGGAAACTGGAAAAGTATGGGGTGTGTGGAGGTA